AAAAAATCCGATTCAGACCGCTCCTATACTAGTAGATATGGGTTATCAAATGATGACAGAAAAGATGACTTGGGAACAAGAAGATTTGGAAGCTCTTATCCATCGTACAGGAGCAGATATGGATTAGATGATGATGATGACAAAGTAAAAAAGGATATCTTGAATTTGAAAAAAGAAAACGGTCTGGCTGGTAAGGAAAAACCAGACGAAGAGAGTGAAGACTTAGATGAAGAAGAAGAAGAGGAAGAAGAAGAAGAAGAAGAAGAAGAAGAAGAAGAAGGAGAAGAAGAAGATGATGATGATAATAATGGAGCGGAAACTCCTGAAGAAAGCCTATCGAAGAAGGAAAATTTTTCAACAGAACCTGATCAGAAAGATAAAACGAGGAAAGTCCCAAAAGTGCTAATAGCAGAGCCGTCGATAGAAGACATGATGGATGATGAAGAAGAGTTGGACGTGGAACCCATTGATGAAGAGGAAACATCTAACAAAAAAGAGCCAAAGCCGTCGTTTAAAGACTCAACTAAAGGTTCCGAGAAACCTCTGGAGAAATGTTCGCAAGGACAGCCGAAGAAGTTCCCGGAACTAAAACCTGTGGAGGAGGAGCCGGAAGTTACAGCTAGTTTTCTTCTTGCTAAGAAAAAACCAAATGATGAGGAGGAATTAGATGTGGAGCCCATCAATCATGAAGCACCTTCAAAAAAGATGCCAAAACCTTCCTTCAAAGACTCAAAAAAGGTTAACGAAAAGGAGCCTACTTCAAAAGTTCCTGAGAAAGATAAGGCCACTCCAACGAATTTGAAAGATCAACCAAAAAGGTTTCCAAAGTCAAAGCCGAGTGATGGCGAACCAAAAACAACGTCCGCTCTTCCCCTGAACAGAAAGAAACCCAGTGATGAGGAAGAATTGGATGTAGAGCCCATTGATGACGAAGTTCCCAATAAAAAAACGTCAAAACCTTCATTTAAAGAACCGAAAAAAATCCCGGGAAAAGAAGTACC